CTATATTCTACAGCAATGTACTCACATCCACAACAAACAAATAACAGTGTCTTGAATGTGACTCCACTAAAAAAACAAACAACAAAATAGGAATACAAAGAGTTAACTACACAGTAAAGAGATGTGTGCAAAGAAATTCATAGTGCATTATCCTCTCCCCGAAACAAAGCCCTCTTTAAACAATGGCACATTCTGTTAGTTACTCTGGATTACTGTTCAAATGCAGCCATTCGGTTTTAGTTTCATGAGCAGAGCGACGTTTTCTACAAGGTATGAGGAAATAGACTCACACTACAAGCTAGTAACGTGAAAAGCAAATCTAAAAAAAAAAAAAGGAAAAGAAATAAGAAAACAATCCTTAAAATTGGAATGTTTAAATAATAATAAAATGAATGTTTACATGGTTAGAAAACCTGCAAGAAATTTAAGGAAGTATCCAAACATTTGGCAACATTGTCAGCATAGGCACTTTCATTTTGCTATAGTGTTTGAAATGCAATGTTTGAGTTACCTCATATCCATATACAAACCATAGACATCAGTAAAGATACATCAGGGTAGGTGGGATACTATAACAACATTTAGCATATTGTTATACTATTCCACCCACCTTAATGAAGATCCTTTAGGTGTGGCGATGCCGTAGCCTTTGGAATCCAAATTCCCACCAACTTTCATGGTATCACAGGGTTTCCTTTGTTCGATGTACTCATTCATGGTTGACTCCAGCAGGTAGGCATATTTTCCTTTGGACTTCCGTACTCGAGCTACCCCTTCTGCTGTAGTCCTCACAAACACAGATGGTTCTGCACTTTTCATATAGGTCCACATTTTATCAAATACTGCAATTTTAGATCTCTGTGGAGACAATATGAAGCCTAATTAACTAATCTTTATGTAGACAGCAAAAGCACACCTGGGAAAATATGATGATGTCATTTTTAGGCAAGTTTATTACTCAATGTTGAAAGACAGCAGCACATACATTCTCTTTTTCTATTAATATTTTGCTGTCATATATGTTTTTGCATTATATTTGTCAAAGATTTGAAACAGTGCTACTTCTACTTTATAAGAGGTGTGCCAGATTAATACGTGGTATCTATCATTAATCTTCAGCGAAATAGTCATCAGAAATTCCCACTCAGACAAGATGCTCTTTTTTGCAGCTCCCTGCAGCTGTGAGTTATGCAAACGAGAAGTGAGCTGAAATGTGCCAGTAGCACTAGAAAACTTCAGATTGCTCCACAGAGGAAACTAGCATTGCTGTGAAACCTGAAGGGAACATTAATAGTGAGGCACCTGTTTCAAGGTTGTTTTTACTTGTACTACTCCATGTGCCTCACCAACTCAACTCAGCAGGTCAGGGTTTTCTTTCAGAAAGACTGCTACCTGAAGTATGTTTCTTTTGCCTTAACCAATTGGTAGTTAAAACTATAATTGGCAGTTTTAACTACCAACTGATTGTTATTTTTTAACCTGGAAAAGAAGAAGAAAACAAAGTTTGCCACCCAGATGTCACCAAAAAAAGGAGCAGTGTTATCAAAGAAAAAGCAGGCAGAATGAGACATACGACAAGTCAGGGTCAGTAACAATCACAAGTCAAAAAGCATACTGGATTTGTAAAAAATCCAGATTTCTTATATTGTCACATACTGTACAATCCTAATGGAAGAATTAAGAAAGCATAGGTCTGTATCATCTCCTCCATGTATGCTGAGTAGAAAACTTAAATGTGCTAACATTTCACATTCTACATTGTCTGACCAAAATAAGTGTATAACTACTAGTGTAGTTGGCAAACAAACCTAAATGAATTTCTTAAAGAGATGACCTATATCATTCTATGAAGTAGACAATGAACTACCGCCAAATTTAATACTATGTTACATGTAGCTCAGCTATAATTACGTTTCTACTTTGCTGTAGAAAACCAAGACCATTTGGTTTTTGTAGTCATTTCAGTTCACTGTGATACTACTATGATATGCGGAAGTATACCAAACCTGTACTATGATAAAAAGTATCAGAAGCACTTCTACTTCTTGTATCTTGTACACTTCAGAACTACAATTCTGCTATAAATATAACAGTTATAGTCATACCACTTTAAAAACAGATGAATAAAGCATGAAAGCATCCGTAATGCCCCCACTGGCTTCACTGTTCTTGTAGTACAGCACTGTAATTTTCCCAGACTTACCCTTATTTTCCTGTCAACAAACGTAGTCCAGGAAGATTCTGAGGCTCAGATTTCTCCCTGTCTCTCTATCTCTGTCTATGCAGTAGTAATAAAAGTTCTGGCAGTACGAAGACCACTGAAAGTTTTCTAACACTTAACTATTCTGACTGTTTCCAGAATCTACATGGACATTGGTACAGCTGGCTTTTTGAAAGTTCCCTTGCAGATCAGTCGTTGCATATTCCGCTTTGTTGAGCTACACATACTCAGTATACCCATTAACATCCACAGCTGGATATACTACTCAACATGACCAGAATGACCAAGAAAAGTAACTGTGCACTGAAGGCACAGTGGGTTTTTCAGATTCCTTGTACATCAGCCACATTGCATAAGCACTGTTCTTATTTCATCCAAGAAGATCTTAAAAAATATGATCATAAAACCTAGGGTAATCCTGAAAAATGGTATATTGCATCACCTTTGAAAAGCTCTTCATGCATTAAACTATCACTAAAAATCCAATACTACACTTTTCTCTGCCTGATATGTAGACAGATAAAGGCGTCTCTAATAGACAGCAAACAGCATTCCATACCTGAAACACTTCCACCTGCAGATCCAAGTCAGTCTGGCTACCTAATGTCCAAGAGTCTCAATCGACTTCACCATAGCACATAAAGAAAGTCTAAATCCAAAGTGCACAGCTTTCTATCATCTGTTCCCAAAGTCCTGCTGCTGTTGCTTGCTTCCCTGGAAACAGAGCTACCAGCTGTGCAGAATGCTCAGTCTCCTCCTTTCTTAGTCCACTGAGGCTTGGACCCAAAATCCCCAGCCTCATATGAAGGAGCTCCATCTTCCCTGAATTCTCATTCTCTAAACTTGCTCTCTCATTAAATCCAGATGCTCCATGCCACTTCCACAATACACTAACATTCACTTCGCAGCATAAGTCCAACTTGCTATGAGGGATTTACCACTACAAACTAAGCAAGTGACATCAAGGTTCCAACAGGGTTATAAAAATTATTACAGTGCTACTTCATGAATTACCATAGGCTTGCTTTCTAAAGGGGAAAACTTAAAGTTGGTGTAGAGTTGTCTTGCATGGTTCAGTTCAGCTCAAAGCAGACAACATACATCTGGGTTCCCATCAAATCAACTACATCACAATGTATTTTGATCCCATGTTGTATAAGAGAAGACGTTATACTGGCTTTTAAGCTTTATTTTATTCTTGTACAAACACTCAAATACTAAATAAATAAGCATTCTTTATTCCAGTTAGGTAACTGTCATGAACAGGTTCATAAACTGACTTAACTGCCTTTTCTTACTCCACTGTTTCCTGGTTTATTGAAATGACCTTTTACAGGTTTTGGTATCTATCAAGTAACAAGAGGTCTAGTGAAGTCTGTTCTGCTTTTGTTCATTCAACTTTAAAATAAAAAAAAAAAAAAAAAAGGGAAAGCATCCCTCCCCCCCCCCCAAAAAAAAAAAAAAAAAAACAACCACATGACAAAGGTGCTGTTCTGAGGGTAACAGCTGAACAGGAAAAGGCACAAGGCACTTTTACAAGGAACAGTTTCCAAATGGCCAAGTGTTAAGAAACCTCCCACTAGATGGCTCACAGGCTCCTTGCTGTATAAGAAGGTAGGAATACCCGACCCAGCAACCATAGAAATAAAAATCTGTCATGCAAACCACATGAAAACAGCACTCAGAATTAGCCATGACCACAGAGTCCTCTACAGCCATTAAAACTGGAATTCATACAGCTGAGTCTTGATCCCTACCTCGTCCTCAACCTTGTCTAGACTCATAAAGTAAGAGCAATGAGCCATTACACAGGAGATACATGACTTCTAAGGTTTTTGTTTATATTGCTACACAACATATTTAGTAATATGTTGTTTTCAGAATTGTGTCACTTTATTTCCTTCATTATTTTGTTTTCAGGATTTGTCTTTTATTTGAAAGGTAGAGCTTAAAGATGTTGAAAAGGGCAGTGTTAAGAGACCTTCATTTAGCATTCTGTACACACACACTCATAAAGCCAAAATTATCTGTTCATTAAAACATGCATGTATACTTACCCTAATTCAAATACATTGCAAAAGAAAAATTATATTGTCATTTAAATTTGGCCAGTGTTATATCTGACCATATATTTCATTGCTATGCAATCACCTTCATTTCCCTAAACTGCATCCATGCAGTCATCAGCGACAGAGAAGTAAACCATGAGGAAACAGAATTTTTGAGAATGCAGGATGCCCTGTGTGCAAGTTGAGCTTTCACACTTCTTTCTTATATACTCTTTGTTTAATAGCACCGAAACCCTAGAAGGATAGCAGTGCTCCATAAAAACCACCACAGCTTGCTATCATGCTATCCAAACAACAGAGCCATTGTAGATTGCTGTATTATTTGACTACAAAAATGCAAGAATATGGAAATAATCTGCACTGCTCTTAATTACTGTGGCTGAATGCTACTGCAAGGTGACGCTCCAATGTATACATGAATTGTGAAAAGCTAATTAAACCCCTGGTATTACAATCAACACCAACATGATGGTACAAGACCCTAATGTTCACAATGAACACCTTTTCCTCCCATTCTCTATCATTTACTTACTAGGAAAATAAAGCAACTGATCAAAAATGCCCCAGGAGCTATCACTTTTTTTTTTTTTTTTTTTTTAAATATCATCTCACCACTGGGCATTCTGACTATGAAAATTATTATTATTACAAAGTACACATCCCATTTAAATGTAAAAGACTACCTTCATTAAGAAGCTCATTAGGAAATTAAATTATGCAAAGCCTTATCAAATTAATTAACCAGATTTTGTGGGTCACCAGCTAACTTCAATTTTTGTCATTCAAAGACCTGTAATTCTTAAAATTGGGATGCTGTAATTAGTATGTCTGACAGAAATATAGCTCCTCAGACTACTAACTCAAATACTCCATCATTCTATTAGATGATGATCTTGTACTGCAGGAGCAGAACTTTAATTCCCAAATACGGTTTCTGTAACCATCTTGTTGACCTTCCATAATTAATAAAAGATCAGGTACTGGTATTGTCATCAGTAGCTAGAAAGTGTAACAACAAATTAATTTTGCCAATTTACATAGTAAAGCAATTATTGATACATCCAAAAATGCAGAAAAGGACAAAACTAGTTTTTCAGCCTCTATGAGCTTTATTTAAAGATTAAGTACTTTAAAACATTTAACTTTGTTTATACTGGGTGAACACTCAAGATGAATGAAAGTTCAAATAGAAGGAAGATCTAAATTCTGTAACACATCGATAATTTTATTCAGTACTGGTAAAAAATAGTTACATGTTCTTAAGATTTAGTTTGATGGCTTTCCAATTTCCTTTAGTCGAGCTGCTTCCAGTACCTTTAATATATTTGGTCTTACTAATAAAAATTGTAAAACATTCTACCTCAAGAATCTACTCCTCAAAAGCCTACTTAAAATCATTTTCTCCAAGAATATGCAAGACCTTGTGTCATCATCATATTCTTCATGTGATTTAAAGATTTAAAGAGTTACATGTTCAAGAAGAGATGTTAGTGTTAAAGTTTCAAGACCATTTAACTCCTGTTAAGATACTTGGTGGAATAACTCCTCCTCTGACACTTAATTTCAAGA